TCCTCCAGATTTTATGCAGCCTATTTTATCTAGATAGACCTGCACAGAAACAAGACAGAGCAAAACAAAGCAACAAAACAGAACAACAAAAAACTAATGACAAAAAAGAAAAGTCTGTAAATCAAGGACTGTTTGTTGACCTTTAGGAGTGATTTCTGGTCGAGTCTGATGGGGCGCCAAGCCCTGGCCCCAAAGTCTATTTTTGGTATTCCCTGGGGACTTCCTTGCTCTGTTCCCCTGCTGTTCTGTTGCACGCCCTTAGTGTTCTGCTCGGTGCGTTGGGGTCAGATTGGGCACAATAAGGGAGACAGTCTTGTCACATCTCTGTCCTTTGCCTCGGCAGGGAGAGCTGGTGCCCGGGCTCTTCGGGGAGGCGGGCCCCCTGAGCTCGCCCGCCTGGACCGCCCCCTCCGTGCGCAGCGGCTGGGTCCAAGGCCTGTGCTCCCTGGCACGGCACCCCAGTGCTGAACAGTTCTTGGCCACCAGTGGTGAGTGATGCTCTGGGCCCCCCTCCACAGCCCCGTCTCCAGCCGGTGGTACCTCTGGCCCCTCCTCCAATGGCTCCAGGACCCCCAGGGTAGTCACTTCACCTCTCTGTGCTTGTCCGCCAGCAACACGTGAATGCCAGCCCTCCTCACGGGAGGGCCGGTGCAGACACGAGATGATAGAAGGTACACCACTCACTCGTGAATTCACATGCACACTCACCCACCCTCACACCCAGAGTCACTCTCACACACTCACCCACCCACACACTCACCCACCCACACACTCTTCCTCTAGAGAACCAGGACACTTATGACTTTATGTGTATAGGTAAGCAGATGGGTTCACACAGCGAAAAGGAAGATAACAGCTCATTCGCCCACACAGCATACGGAGGGCTCAGTCCAACTCACTTGTGTAAAACAGTTAATATGCTGGAAATCCTTTGACTCTTGTGGGCTGCTGGGTCCAAGGTCAAGGAAGCAGACAGTGGAGTCCTCCCATGGCCAAGGCCTGGATGGGATATCGAACTCAAGCAATGGAAGAAGACAGGATCCACCAGCCTCAAGCTCAAAGGATGTACACACCAGCAGCGTGGTGAAGCAGGTCTGGAAGGAGCCTCAAGCTCTAGCAACAGGATCCAGGGGTTGGCTTGGCCCACAGGTAGTGCAGCACACAGGCTGAGGCAGAGAACCAGCTAAAGCAGCAGCACGCTGGTCCAATCAGAGAGCAGGGAGCTGGTCCAATCACCAGAGAGAGGGGGCGGGCCTTGCAGAGCCATTTATCTTTTTACCCTCCAATCAAACTGCGACCTGGCTAACCCCATATGTTCCTATTGGCCAGGTTGGCCCAATAAGCCTAACTATCATACCCACACACAGATGCACACTCACACTCACCCACCCTCGCATGCTCACACACCCACCCGGTCACAGCAGCCCTTATAGAACAGACTAGAACCGCCCCCCGTGCGTGTCCGGGGCTCTCAGAAAACTTCCTCTTCTTCCGCTGAGCGGCTGGGGGTTTTGATCTGCTGACTTTATAGAGAACATTAGGCCACCGAGCTCCTTAGACACATACTGGGGGACAAGAACAAGGATGTGGGAAACAGAATTTCCCGCGAACTGTGTGAAGGACCCTCATGTAGGGCCCCTGAAACCACACAGAAAAATCCAAGTAGTTCACCCTGGGGCCTGTGTGCTCACTCAGTGTGCATGTGTGTGTACACGTATATATGTATGTGTA